CCCACTCGCGGTTTGTCCTCCCCCCCCCCCCCCCCCCCCCCCCCCCCCGTTCCCTCTCTGAGGAAGTGGAAGAACCTCTCGAGGGGGTGAATTTATTTTTGGCAGTAGCAGGGGTCAGACTTGGAAAAAGGGGGGTGAGAGCTGCTGAAAGTTGGTGAGAAAGTCTTCAGCATTACCCCTGAGCCCGTCCCACCCTCAGCTGCCTTGTCCTCCCCTCTGCTCTCGTGTGTGCGTCTGTGTTTTGTTTGGCCACGACAATGACTGTGGGGAACATGGAGAGCGCTACTCTCTTTGATGCAGGGAAGAAAGGTCGTGGCCTCAAAGCTGCCAAGGAGCTCGTCCCCGGAGAGGTGATCTTCGCCGAGCCGAGTTTCTCCGCTGTGGTCTTCGACAAGTAGGTGCAGGTTTACTCACGGCTGTTCTGTGCAGTTGGGTCAGGTCTTTGCTGCAGATCTGGTTGATACAGCAGGTGCATTGTGGACTTCAGGTGTTGGCTTCTCTACTTTGAGCTATGACCTCATTTTTTTTTTGGTAGCCCAAATTTTCATGACGCCAGCAACATGGGCAGTGTTCAGGTGTCATGTGGACCCGAGCGTGACATAGCTAAGGATTTAGTTTCCGCATCACTGAAGGATTGTCCAGAGAGGTTCAGGTCATTAGTTAATTTATGACAGAATATAATGCACTTCACACAGAAAAGTGTATTGTCAGGAGATTAGTCTCATTATAATCATAATTGTCTGTGGTGTCTCTGTGAATAGATGCAGACCTAAAGTGGTCAGAGGTTAAAATAATACCAGTATTGAAACTATGACATGAATATATAGTACAAGCACAGGCCAGAAATTTCCAAGACAAAGAAATATATAGTACAAGCACAGGCCAGAAAGTTCCAAGACAAAGACATTTCCAACCATTTCCAACCTAATTTTATATGATTTGATCACTAAAACCTTCTGAGAAAGGTCTCTGTTTTTCCAACAGTCTGGAAGTTTGTAGTTTGAAATTCTTTGTCAAGTTGTGACAAGTGTCAAGCTGAGTGTCCTTAGATCAGATTTTTCCATTTGATCAGATTTTTGGCAGATTTTTGATCAGATTGACAGGACCCAAATGCAGCACAAGGGAGGGGGCGGGGGGTGTCTTCAGGTGCAGTAGGTTTATTTCCAAAGTGCAGAATAACAAAAACTCACTTAGTGACAGAAACAGGGCAGGAAGTACGAGGCATGGACGTCTCCAAAACATGAACTACTAGGCATCAACTATACACATGGCACAAAGCACAATGACCACACAAACTGAACAAACAACACAATGATCCCACAAAGACAGAGTGAGGGATAGAGGTATGCATACCCAGGGCGTAAGTGTGATCACAATGGTTAACTCCACACAGCAGGCAGCAGGAACAGGAAACAGACAGACCTAACACAAACGTCAAACATTTTTAACCAATCTTGAATGAAAACCTGAATGGTTTGAAGCCCACCATCAGGTTTTTCTGGTTCAGGTTATGACCTGGGGTCAAAGACATCAAAACAACAGGTCATTCAGACTCTGATACTTACAGAATAAAGTCGAAAAGATGTTTTATTTTCAAATTTGAATGATGCTTCAATGATGGCGCGGTATTACCGGTCATGGCTGATAGTGGCAGACTGGTTCTTGATACAAAAACGGTGGTTTGGGACCACCGATTCAAAGGATTAGGATTTGGGAGATTTTTGTCATAGTTAGGAATAGTTTAGCTGTCTTACTCTTTTTGTTGAAAAAAATTGGAATAAGGATTATAATTAGGTCTGGGTCGGGGTTAGAGGAAGGATTGGGATTAAGATTAGGCCTACATTGGTAACAGTTAAGGTTAAGTTAAGGGTTTAGGGAATGCATTACAGTATGTCTGTGCTAAGTACTTATAACTCATAAAAACCAAACTGTCTGTGTGTGTGTGTGTGTGGAGAAGCAGAGATCAACCTGGTGGATAAACTGTTTACACAGACTGACACATGCTTCGTCGCTCCACTGTTTGTTGCCTGAGTCCCTGCAGCTGAAAAGGATGTGAACACACACACACTGTGAATCATCAAGTTTCCATAACTGCTCAAGCTATTTTGGAAACAGACTCCGAGTTTCTTACTTACTCCTCCATCATTTATACGTCACACTCGCACAGATCCCTAAACGTTGCTCAGGGTTTAGAACACTCATTAAGACTTTTACCTGAGGAGACGGGGGTCACACGTTGACCACACGTACATGTACATTATGCAAACCACAGATGTGGCTCAAGGAATTCACCGAATAATGTTCACAGTGTTCTGGACAGGAGTGTGAATCAATTTCTACCCTTTTAGAAGCCAGTTACCCAGAGCTCTGACACGGTTAATGTGTAATGTGACTAACAACACATATGATGGAACCAAACATTTTTTAAACTGGTGGTCTATACCTATACATTTCTATACATATACACATACACAAACACACACACATAAATATGTATATATATACCTCCTGTAATTCAAAAACTGGGCTTCATCCCATTTTTAATTTTCACCCATAATTTTACTAAAAAACTAAAAAAGTAACCCTTTTAAATATAGATATTAAATAATATAAGTATTTAAAACTTATTTTTTTACAACGGTTTGTGATATTAAATAATATAAGTATTTAAAACGTATTTTTTTACAACAGTTAACGGTTTGTCGCGGATAGCTTAGCATAGCTTCTCAGAAAATTATTTTTAAAAATGTGTTTGAAGCGTTCATTAGCTATCACTTATTATCACTTAAGTAATAGGCGGGCTATTTAAAGACCCGCCCTTTTCCCTTCGCCCAGGTATTACCGCGACCAACCTACCTCATAACTTGTTTCTCTTTGCTGCTCAGTTTTGCCACGAAGGTTTGCCACAGCTGCTTCCGGCAACAGGCTAACCTCCACCGCTGTGCTCAGTGTAAATTTGCCCACTACTGCGACCGCACCTGCCAGACGGCATGCTGGGACGAACACAAGCAGGAGTGTGGAGCTATCAGGAAGATGGGCAACGCCCCCGCTGAGAACATCCGGTAAGACAGAAATCGTAGGCTACCAAGTGTATTAAGAGATGCTAATTATTTTCCATTTTATAAATGTGATGATACCAAATCTGTGAAGTGATTAAAACGTAATTGATGGGAGGGGGAGCTTTGTAATTATTTTATATTGATGAATTGCATTTTGCCAAATAGAAATATTTGAAACATTTTACATTTTTAATCCAAATATATTTCTATTCAAGACTGAATAAATGAATAGGTACACAGGTGAAGTTAAAAAATAAAAATGCTAAGCATGCAGCATGTTATCATTTAGTTGATCCTGTCACAATAACATGCTCTTAGTGGCCACGTGGAGGTTACTGCCACCTACAGGGCTGAAGTGTGTGCATCAAAGTTACTGGTATGCCAGAAATGAAGGAAATAGGAAATATGCGATTACTTGTGTTGTTTCCTCAAAGTGCCATTGATCATTCTAAATGACTGGGTTAAAGTCCGAGTCTTAGTAACAACATGTGTACAACAAGACGAAAACATTTTTGGGAAGATTTTGTCCTAGTAGTTATCTTGTAAAAGCAGTGGCTAAATTAATTTCCTTAAAACTAAAGCTATGCGTGGATGGGCCTCACCATAACTATCCCTTTTATTTCCTCAGCCTCGCAGCTCGTGTGCTGTGGCGCATACACAAGAACGCGGGCATCATGTCCGACAGTCAGCTGATCTCTGTGGACCAGCTGGAGGACCACGTCGCTGACCTGTCCGAAGAAGCTCGTACGCAACTGAATGCTGATGTGCAGACCTTCCTGCAGTTCTGGTCACATGGAAGGAAGAAGCACGACCCTGAATACATCTCTCACATCTTTGGAATTGTTAGTCTCAAGTGTGTGTTATTGTTATCGTTATGACTTGTGTCGTCATGCTGAAGACATTGTGGCCTCTCGCTGTAGATCAAATGTAATGGATTCACCATGAGTGATCAGAGGGCCGTCCGTGTCGGCCTCTTTCCCAACCTGTGTCTGGTGAACCACGACTGCTGGCCCAACTGCACCGTCATCCTCAACCATGGAACGTAGGTGACAGGATCTGAGCTGCTGCCGCTGTCGTTTGATTAGTAAATGATGAATTCATTTCCGGAAAGAAATCCTTCATAGCAAGCGGGGCTACATGTGGTAGTTAAAACGCCATCTGTGGGCCTCTGGTGGTACAAAACTGACATGTATGGTCTATATCTGGTGTTACAAATGTGGGCCACAACCTTCGAGCAAAACTGCCAAATGTCTGGCATGTCTATCTTGGGCCAAACAAAGTAATAGCCAATCAGAGGACCAAACAGGGGGCTGAGTTTGCCTAGTTCCCAGATCCTTGATGTGGACCACAATTGAGCTTGTCAAACTTATTTGACAAGGGTTGTCAAACGTCTTTTGTCATAACTTAATTACTTGTTAATTTTCATCAAGTGGGCCAGATTGAAACCCCAAGCGGGCCGGTTTTGGCCCACGGGCCTTATGTTTGACACCCCTGTTGTAGCCCATCGGCTGTAGATTTTAAATCTGTAGACTTTGGTGCAGAAGAAAACAAACACAACATGTAATAAAATGACCGGTCTTTTCCTTCGCAGCCAAACAGCTTTGAGTTCTACGCTTCACTCTCAGAGGAGGTAGGGACCAGTCGCCCGACACTGCACACACGTGCTGCTCTTTCTTGTATCATAAATGGTATATGTAAGAGTCATTGTTACTTCCTCATTCCAGGATTGAGCTGCGAGCCCTGGAGAAGATACCGGAGGGAGCCGAGCTGACGGTCAGCTACGTGGACTTCCTCAGCCTGTCCTCTGACCGCCAGAAGAAGCTGCGTGAGCATTTCCACTTTGACTGCACCTGTGAGCACTGCGCTCAGCACATCAAGGATGATGTGATGATGGCAAGCTCGGACAGCAAGGTAAGTGACGAGCTCAGATGATTTAGCCGGCCAAACAGTCTACCTGGTTGTGTTAGTGTACGCTAAGTAACAATTGTGTGTCTCAAAACAACTGGGTGACGTTCAGTCTATCAGTGAACGACATCTTAGGTTATTGCAGTTCATGGATGTGCCTGAAACCGCCCCCTACAGTCTATTGGTGGCACTCCATTTTTTTAGTGGTGTCCAAATGTGTAGTGAGTGATGTTGTCCACTGTACTGTAGAGGGCACTCAATGTATCCCACAATGCACCCTGAAATCTAGTGTACATCCAGTGTACACTAGCCAAACAAGATATCCCATCATGCATTGCAGTCGTGACGACAGGGCGGAGACAGGATCAGCACCCAGTTGTTTTTAATTAATAACTACGTAATTAACGGCGGAGACAGGATCAGCACCCAGTTGTCGTTGGACGTCGATGTAGTGTCGACAAAACCGTTTTTTAAACCGATGAGTCCACTATAAGGTGCATTTTATATAATTCCCTATATTGGAACTAGGGAGTGGGTGATCGATTCAGAAACAACAAGGTTAACTTATTCAACTTATCAGCTACCTCTGCTGAAGTTGGCTTCAGTTTGGTAAAACATCGCCGATATTCATTCGCTGGCAAGTCTTTGCTGACCGGTTCCTTCCTAGATCTCTAACCTTCACGTTCTTCTTCCCCGACCTCAGCCTTCTGCTGACAAGGTGAAGGAGGTGACGGCCTTCAGTAAAGAGTGTCTGGAGAAGATCGAGGCAGCTCGTCTTCAGGGAGACTTCCCGGAGGTGAAACTACTACTTCACTGCCAACTTTCGTCTCCTCCTGTGAATGTTTTCCAGTTTCTAGTTTTGTTATTTAATCCTTCGGTGTGTGATCACGTGTCCGTCCTCCGACAGGTGGTGAAGATTTGTCGTGAGTGTCTGGAGAAGCAGGAGAACGTTCTGGCCGACACTCACCTCTACAGGCTGCATGTCCTCAGTGTGGCCGGTGAGGTTCTGTCTTTTCTGCAGAACTTTGGTGAAGCAGCAGGATACGCTGAGAAGATGGTGGAGGGATACAAGTGAGTGGAGACACCGCAACATTTTGGCCTGAAAACCAGAGGCTGAAAAAGTAATATTTGTAAAAATCATTCCGCTCTACAATTTGTTTGTAATATAATATAGAATTGTTTTTTTTTTTTTGGACAAACTGTGAAGCTATAACTATAGTTTTATATATTTTCATATATATATATACATATATATATATATACATATTCATATTCAGAATACTGATGGACAAAAAGAAATTGTCCATATATTGCATAGAGAAATCCTGATCCTAAACATCCACTAATCTATTTCTTTTTTTATTTCATAAACAGGAGGTTGTACCACCCCAACAACGCCCTACTGGGCATGGCCATCATGCGAGCTGGTGTCACACACTGGCATGCTGGGAAAATCGAGGTGGGCCACGGTTTGATCTGCAAGGCCTACGGTATCCTCATGGTGACGCATGGACCCAACCACGCCATCACCAGGGACCTGGAGGTACGTGACACGGTCCTCTGCTTCTTCAAAACCGATTGCAGAACAAGTCGTTTTTGTACACGTCAATGCTACCGTCAGCCACTGGGTGGAAAACTGAGACGAGAGATTAGTGAATTCACCTCGTTTAAATGACTTAATATGCATGTATTTTAACAGCAACAATCTTTGCCTAAGTCTAAGATGTTAAAATTCCCCCATGCTGATGACCTTGTTGACCCTCTTACGTAAACTATCAATGAGGACAGTGAGACACTGAACTTTTGCTCTTTCCACCTCTGTGGCTTCAGTCCATGCGCACACAGACAGAGCTGGAGCTGAAGATGTTCCTGCAGGACGAGTCTGCGTATCACAGCATGAGGGAGGCGGCTCTGAAGAAGAAGCCCCTGGCTCCGATCTCTGCTGGCGGTGGAAACGTCAAAGATGTGTCCCGCAAGAAGTAGAGGACGATCGCTGCTGACCTGGTCAATAAAACTCTAGTCTGTCTCGATGCGTGTGGACCTGATCACTGTCCTGTCTTACAGCGTCCAATGCAAACATGTCACATGTCGTAACATTTCTCCAATAAATGCTGACTTATAAGATATGTTGTCATCATTTATGCAAAAAAACAAACAAACAGGAAGTTCACTCTTCTGTCAGGCCCTGAACAAACATCTGAGAGAGAACAAAAGGTATGGTACTGTACTAACAACCACAGTGACTGTAGTCACCAGGGCAACTGCACCAACAGAACAACACCCATTACAGCAACAGCAACTCAAGCTTTGTTTGTTCGTAGAAACACAGAACCTTTTTTCATCTTCGGTGTTACTTAAGTGAGCCTTCCAATGGGACCCCAACACAAGAAACAGCGCAGTACCATTGGAAAACAGGGAGGGGGGGCAGTATAAGGCAGCATAGCATTTTAGACCAAGACACAGGTGACAACATATTTGAGCAGTCCATTCAGTGAAAAAAAAAGGAAGAATTTCCAACATGAAAAACATTTTTATTCCAAGCTCATCCTGCCACTTCCTTTTAGAAAGGACGTGAGGATCCACAGTACACACAGATTCTTCAATGTAGACATTAACTATAGAGGCTGTGAAAGGACAGATCCAGATTCAGCTGCTGCAGGTTCCCACCCAGCCCCGAGAAGCTGCGTCCGAAGGAAGTCAAGCCTTGGCTTGGTGGTCAGTTTTTATTGCTCCTAGTTTTTGCTTAATTTAGAAAAAATATATGTATTTTTCTGCAATACAGAAAAATGTAGAAATTCCTCATTAAATTAGCAAAAAAAAAAGTTTTAAAATACCCTTTAAAAACAGCAGAGCCAGGAGACATAGAGGACGACGAACATGTGACTGTACAGAAGACACGACAACAATACTTTACTGTACATTAGTGTTTCTTCAGCGAAGGAACTGAACCTCTCAGTTTTTCCCCAGACTTTTTCTCCGTCTTATTGCACCACACAGAGGTCGTTATTGGGAGGACTGTGACCGTCCCCGGTCCCGTCGGCGTCTCTGCCGGTTTGTCCGTGCTCATCCAAACCTCCGTCCCGTTCGTCGCCGTTGAGTTTCTGCCTCAGCTCCATCAGCAGCTCTTTGCCATCGCTGGAGGGCAGGTTTCCCAGGAAATACTGAGGTGCCAGCTCCACCAGCCTGCAACAGAGGAGGGCGTAGGTCCTTTAACTCAGTGTTACATAACATTTTCAAACAGGAAGTTTGCCTGGCTTTGTAAACTGCTAACTGCACCGAGGATTTTTAGCTGTTTGGACCCCAGGAGGTCTGCTGCTGTAGCGTAATACTTAATAATAAAAAGTAGGCGGTAATACTTGATATGTATTTACATATAAAATATATATAAAAGGTAAAAAACCAGACCAACAAGTTTACTAATATGAATTGTGCTCACATCTGTGGGTGGACTTCAGAAGCGATGCGGATGCAGTTATCACTGGAGATGGTGAACTCGTGGTACAGCACCCAGTTGGGTGGGGCAGGGCGGGGCTGTCGACACAGGTAGGAGGAGAAGGGATGAAGGTGAGCCACGTGACGGTGAGTCAGCAGGAGGTAGTTACCGGAACCATCCACATCATGAGCAACCTGAGGAGGAGCAGGAGGAGGAGAGCAACAGTGAGAGAGGGGAACACACACACACACACACACACACACACACACTGACAAATGCAGCTACACTCCTTACCTTTAGAAAAAATCCTGAGATGAGCGCCCGCTTGATGTTGGTACAGTTGTCTTGGCAACCAAATGCAGGAGGCGAAACAGGAAGTTCTATCCTCTGCATCACCTCCAGCAGCTCCGCCCTGATCACTGTAGCCAATCGTAAGGAAGCGTAGTTGAGGAAGTTGGCCGAGCACCAGGACTCGTCCTGATTATCTGCAGCAAACAGACGCAGATGCTGCAAACTCAGAAATGGAGGAAGAAACTGTTTCCTTTTCTGAAAACAATATGAACACAATTGTTGGAGCTACAACAAGCAAGCAACTAATGCGCTCTTTAATGAAGTCCACTACTATTCTGGACATGTGACATCATCATTTTGGTCCAGTTTTATTGGAAAAAAAAAGTTTACATAACGTAACATATAGGGAAAAATAATCATGTAGACATGATTATTTTATTTTTATTAGGACTTACATTTCCCTCCATAATATTATCTAATAATTAAATACCAATGTATTCAAAGACTCTAGCCCAGGAATGGGCAAACTACGGCTCGGGGGCCGGATGCGGCCCATTTGGCTTTTTAATCCGGCCCACCAAACTTGTCCAAATATTATTAATTTATATTATCATTACACTTCTTTTCCCTGTAATGCCTGCATTTCCGCATCAAATTGCATAGAAAAGGCTAAAAGAATTTTAACATTTAGCTTTTATGCATGATGTTTACATGTCATTTATCCCAGTTCGCACGAACGCTTCATCTATCTGCTCCTGAAAGTTTAGGACCCATTGTGGCCCACGTGTCAAAAAGTTTGCCGACGCTTGCTCTAGCCCTAGCAGTTAGCTTAGCATGCGTTGTTTCTACTTACGCGCCAGGAAGGCGTTGTAGACGTTTATTAGAGTCATGTGATCTCCCTCTGTGTGCATCAGTGGCCTCCAGTGAGTGACGGCAGCTTCTTCTCTGCAGGCTTCAGCCATCAAAAAACAGGACGGAGCTGAAACCACGACAACATCACACATATAAATGTTTCTCCACAGGGTTACATTTTACAGTTTTTAATCCTCTCGTAAACATGGGAGTTGACTTCTGTCCCACAAAACCCCCACATCTGCCCAGTGTCAATAACAATTTAAATTTCACGATAATTATTGACAGACAGAGAAAACATGAATCTGTGTGTTCTTTTCCACACTGACCTGTTAGCATGGCTGCGATGGTAAGCAGCTCGTCCACGCAGTCGTACTCACAGGCTGCAATCAGAGCTTTAGCCAGAGGGGGCTCTAGCGGCAGCTCGGACATGATGATGCCGACCTCAGACAGGTTACCGTCATCGTCCAGAGCTGCCAGGTAATCCAGGTCTTCCAAGGCCTGCATCAAGGCCTCGGGAGCTGAGACAGAAGGAAAGCTACGGTTCAACGTCAGGTTCGTTTAAGAACAGGCATTGAAAGTAAAATAACAAACTTAACTTCAGCAGACATTGGGGACATGTATAAAATTATTAATGTCTTCATATTTTATACCAAATAATGTTCTACGTATCTTTCAATACATAACATACATGAACCGTTCTCCCTCTCTCCATCAGTCTGGGGGTCTGTGGCCTGAAAAACCTCAAGGACTGCTACTCTAAAGTGAAGCCGATGTGTGAAGAACCAGACCCAACACCACATGTTTTCACAAAAATGCAGAGGAGGTGGAGGGAGACCATGGGCCAATCACATTCTTCAATTCATCTACGCCCTGAAATTGGAAGCCCCTTTCAAGAATGTGATGTCGTCATTAATGCTTACATGGCCGAAAACGTGTGTGGAGATGGAGTTGGATTTGAGGCGTCAGAAACGGACCAACTGAGCAAAAATGTGACTTGTTGCGAGTGTATCTCTGTCACTGGGTCAAAGGTCACACATGTACCTGGTCTGTCCAGGAACTTGCACTGTCCCATGTCGGCGATGTCCAGCCTCTTGAGCAGCAAAACCAGGTGACTGAGGTTCTCCTCTGTCACTCCTGGACAGTGGGACAACTCCATCCCCGAGTCGTACAGAGACTGAGGGTAGAGACGGAGACACAGGCCTGAGGACGGACGCAGACAGACAGCACATGGTGTTAAACAGCCAGAAATAAAAATGTTTTCTGAAACATAA